TATTCACTGGGGTATAATCACCTGTTATGAATAGCCAAAGGGACTCCAGTGGTGTAATGGTCAAGCTTTTGGTGGTTAACTGAAAGGTTGACAGACTATCTAGTGGTTCAACTGGAGAAAGATTTGGTGATCTGCTCCCATAGAAACTGCAGTCTAGAAAACCCTACAAGGGCAGTTCTGCTCTGTCACAGAAAGTTGCTATGAGTCTAATTGGCCTCAACAGCACCTAACAACAACATGAAGAGTCAGGAGAAATCTCTTTGAGGTCTCAGGATAGGGAATGTTTGGCTTGCTTTAATGCTACTTGTGAATCACGTTACTGATCTAATTTCCTTTGTCCAGAAAACTCAAAACTGACACTTAACACCACCTTATAGCATGCATTTTGTGTATGAACTACACTATGAGTTTTGTAAACTAAGAATGAGTTTTGTCTCATTTTCCTGTCCTTATTTTTATGTGGTGACCTTCTTCTAAAAGGCAACTTTTTTTCTTTCTTTACCTTTTTATTGTGAATTAAGTGAAGGTTTACAGACAAGATCATCAGCTTTACATTCAACAAATAATAAGCTTTGTTTCATTTCAACAATTGCAGTCCTCCATTGCAACAACAGTAGTCCCATTTCCTCCCTGTTTTCCTATTTGCATTCTACCCACCTTCCTCTCCCTTCTCAACTTTGTCTGTAGGAAAATGTTGCCCTTTAATTTTTAATGATTGACCATTCCAAGGTAAGCCTATCTTACTAATGTTGTTGTCCCCTCCTATAAACCTGTCTACTGGTTGATTGAAAATTGGGCCACAAGGCTGGATTCCTTTCCAGATTTGATGGGCAGTTGCGGGCCATAGTCTCAAGTTCCTCCAGACTCTTTCTGACCTGTAAACCTGGTCTTTAAAGAATTGTTTTTTAAATTATATGATTTTGAGTTTTATTTCACATTTTCTCCCACTCAATCTAGGACCCTCTAATGTGAGACTTTTGAGAGCAGTTGGCAGTGGTGGCCATGCAGTTTCTATTCTTCTGGTCTCATAGTCCATTGGACTAATTGATTCCAAACCTCTTCAATTTGTATTACTCTTCTTTCTTCCACACATGGAAAGGCAAATAGCTGCACTTTAGATGGTTGCCTGTGAGCTTTCAAGATCCCACACGCAACTCACTCAAGTAGGATGTAGAACATTCTTTGTAGACTATGAAATGCCAACTGACCATGGTGTGCCCTAAGACTGTGGTCCTGAGCTCTCAGGCCCAGCTACTCATTGCCTTAAGATGTTTGATAATATCTAGGAAGTTTTCATCATCTTACCCACCCCAAGGAGCTCTGGAAGCGTACTGGTTATGAGTCTGGCTTCTAACCTCAAGGTCAGTAGTTCAAAACTACCAGCTGATCTGTGGGAGAAAGATGAGGCTTTCTGTTCCCATAAAGATTTACAGCCTCAGAAACCCTGTGCAGAGTCTCTATGAGTCAGAACCAACTGCACAACATACCGCCACCACTACCACCATCATGGTCCACCACATGTCATAGTTGTGCTTGCAGGAAAGGTAGATACTCACGTACAAATACCCTTTCAAGCTCATATATTTGTGGTATCTATAAATATCTAAATATCCCATTCTTCCTCCCTTACTCATTCAGCCTATGTCTCTCAATCCATGTATGTATACACAAAGCACTGTTGTTCCAAGGTTGTGTATATGTCACTATATATCTCTATCCTCTTTAGCCCATGCAACCCTCCTTGTCTCTTCACCTGTCTTCATCATTCTTATGCCAACCTCCTTCTCCTTGTATATTGTCCTCTCTGCCACCTGAGCTAACATATTTCTACCCTCTAGCAAGTGAATTATTCTCCCTTCCCTCCCACTCCTGGTAACCGTCAAAGAACACCTCTTTTAAAATGAAACCTTTTTCTTCTTAAGTTTTTACAATAATGTCTCATACAATAGTTGTCCTTTTGTTATAGACTAATTTCATTCAGCATAATATCCTCCAGGTTCATCCATGTTGTTCTTCAACATTGCACAAAAATAATTTTTTCCCCCCATGGTACAAAAAGAATCCTTTTTTTGAGGGCACCCTAATAAGATAAGTGTCTTACTGAGAGAACTTGTCTGCAGTCATTCACAGATCACAGAGACATGTTTAAACAGACATTGTTTGGATTAAACCCCTGCATATATAAACTGGAAACCTAGTAGCAATACTTTTTGACTTACCCTGTTATTTTTTGTTTTCTAAGAAATCTCTGCCTACCCCGATCGCAAAGATTTCATTCTACATTGTCTTCTAGATTTTTTAGTTTTACATTTAAGTCTGTGAGCCATTTGAGTTGTTTTGTGAAGGATAGGAGTTAAGAATAGATGTTTATTTTTTCATTCCAGAGATATCTAGTTATTTATTACAGCATGACTTTTTTCCAAAAGACTTTTGTGTCCAATTGATGTGCCATGACATTTTGGTCAAAAATCAATTTGCCCTAGGTGTGAGCAAAATGATACAAGTTATATTCTAATACTATATCCAGAAAACTCAGTGTTGTTGTTGTGTGCCACTGAGTCGGTTCCAACTCATAGTGATCCTGTATACAGTTTCTGAGTAGGAGACTTGAAAAAGCTGACCAAGCATTAAATATGATAATTTGCCTGATTCTGAATCTCATATTTTCATCAAATAGAGTTTGTTTTAAAATTATTTCCTTATGTCTATTCCAGAATGGATGGAGCAATTTTCCTTGACTCTCAAACCATCACTTAGATGTGATGGTGAAGAGAAGCCTTCTTCTAGGTATTTGGGCTTAGCAACAGTCAGAGATTCCAGCATTTTCTTCAAATGCAAGTGCACTCTGAAGTCATACATAATGAGGAAAATATAAAAGCCTTACATTTTCCTAAAAAGAAAAAAGCATCAGATTGGTAACATTGGTGACAACAAGCATTGCTTACCTTTTACATTAGGAGCGCCGGCCTAAGCCAAGATTGATTTCTGTGACAAAGAGAGAACTGTGGACAAGAAAACCCAATGGCTGTAAAAACAGAGATCTAAAATTTTAATGATTTAAAAATAGCCTCTACATACAAGATGGCAAAGGGAGTAAATACAGATAGAGCATTTTGGTTTTGGAATGTTGACATGTCACAATTTAGCTTAGAACACGTCTATCATCTCCTAAAAAAGATGCACTATACAATATAATCGGTCAGGACAACTTTAAAAAAAAAAAGATCGTTTTCAAGTGTTGTCAATTTTCAGCAACCTCTTTCCATTCCACACACTTAGTTGTCATGTAGTAATACAACCGTTCTTTACCTTTGGCAGAGCAGAGGTTTGAGAATTAAACTAGCTGTTGTTTTGAAAGCACCTTCTATGAGAAGTTGCACTGATTTTCTTTTCTTTTTTTTAAAATCACACTGAGCTGGTACATGCTTTCTTCTTAGATCTTTCCCTGTTCCAACACCGTGGTTGCTTAAAACAAGCATGCTTAATTCAGTCAAGGCATAAATTGCAATATAAAAACATGTTTCCAAATAGGCTAGAATAAGACCACTAAATAAGAACTGGGCTGAAATAGCATAAAGAAAACCATGCTTTTTGACTTGACATTGCATAAACACATTACCAGGGAGGAAGTATTTCATGAATCAGATGGCTTGTGGAGATAGACTTCGATGAGCTATTGGGACCTAGTTGTGAGATTGGAGAAGGGGATGGTATATGCAGGGGCATTGGCCAGATAGAGTTAGCAGATCAAGTGGCCTATGTGTCCAGAGTCTGCAGTATGAGTTGTGAGAAGGGTGTAAGATCAAGGGTGGGGTTCTCTTTAGCATAGAGAGTCAAAGGTGACCAGGTGGCTGGACAGTTCAGATGACCACTGACCTGGCGGTTTCCCTCAAGTAACAGGAGAGGCAGTACCTGAGTGCATGTTGAGAGCCAGGAAGGCATTACAGCTGGCAGATGGAGCCATTCCTCCTTTTTGTAGACAATCATGGTCTGATATGTCTTTGCAAAGTCCTGCTACAAATCATACAGTGTTCGAAAATCTACAAACATCCTTTGGGAAACCTCATGGCTGAATCACTTACAAATACAGATGATCAAGTAGTCCTGGGAAAGCAAACCCCATTTTATTGTGGCTTCTCTTAGTGTTGAAACATCTCAACCCTAACTCAACACTTGGCCTCCAAAAACACATACATATCTCTCCTCTCTCCAACACCTAAAAGATCAGATCTTCTATACCATAGACTTTTTGTAATTCTCCACAATGTGCTGCAGGAGAATGCATTGGGCCACAAGGTTGGCTGGAACTGCAAGGTTGGCAGTTCAAACCCACCAGCCACTCCTAGGAAACCCTATTCTGGGTCTCTATGAGTTGGAACTGACATGATGGCACTTAACAACAACAACAATGGCTTTTCCTCCTGGAAATGGGGATATTTTACCATAAGGTGTTCTAGATGGTCAATTTGGGAAGGGGGTTCAAAACAAGAACAAACCATGTCATGCCTCATTATTTGGGAGGGGAATACTCACAGATATTCCTCTGTTTTTTAAACTTAGGAATGAACAGTTCAGGATAATCACAAGTCTAACACCATCACAACTAGCTGGCCTGCTTTCTAAAAAGTATGCAGCATTAGGAGGTGCTTACTAAGGTGCTTCTTAATTCATGTTTTGTTTTTTTAATGGAATGTATCAGACAAACATCTACACACAAACATGAATACACAGGCATACACAAACACATGGACAAGTCTCTGTACAGTTTATATCTTAGATACTTATATGCATATGTAAGAACCAAACAGCAAAAAAGAAAAAGAAAAAGAAAAAGATTTTCCATCTCCAGCTCCCTGAATTCTTGAACATTGTCTAATCCATAAAATGTATTTAAAATATTTCATATAAAATATCTACAAAAATAGATAGCATTTACAAAAACCAGACAGTATTTCCAGTTTTCCTTAGAACCCATCAGTCCTCTTTTCCTCCTTTTCTCCTCAGAACGTCGCCATCTCCAGCAAAGAGCGCTTAAACAGCTGAGCGTGTCTAGACAGGTCTGTCACTTGATGTACCATTTCCTGCAAGGCAGTCGTGCTGGGGTAATGGAGGGCCGCCATCTTGGTTGCCATAACTATAGTCTTGAGCTGTTCACACAGCTGGTTGCTGGAGTTCATCACTTTGTTGCGAATATCCTGGGCAGCAAGCTGCCTTGTCAGTGTGTCTCCAATGAACACCAGTTTGTGTGCACTTAGGATGACAAACTTGCTGTGTGCCACAAAGATCCGTGGGGGCTGGGCTGAGCTGACGCAGCTGAAGAGTGCATCAATGGCATTGAGAAGGGAAATGTAATGGGTCTCACATTGGTCATAATAGAAACAGAGCAGCTGCCTGTCTTGAGCACCCACGCTGTTGCTTGTAGCTGGGAGACTCTGAGAGGGCTTCCACTTTGAGATGTCATTCTCCACAGGCTTTGTGATTTCTTGTTCCAACAGCTGGAATTGACTTAGCTGAAAAGAAGAAGAAGAAGATGTTATTTAGGGGAAGGCAGTGTGGTGGGAATTGCTGTGGGTTTGAAGTTAAAAGACATAAGTTTTTGTCTTCAGCCTATAACTGACTGGAATATCTAAGGAGTTCTAGAACTTGCCCAGTGAAACAGGCTTACTGTGGAGCCATTGTAGCATATAGGACCTTAGGTGGAACCCTAAGCCCCATACAGAACCTTCTGAGGTGGGACACTGCCACTTGAAAGGACAAGTAGACCAGCCTGGAACAGCTAGAGGAATGGAAGATATTTCTCAAAAGAAAGACTAGCAGGAAAAATCCAAAAATGAAAAAATGACAGTCTGATTGGCTACTATAAGAACAAGCAAGTTGTTTACCAGGGAGCCATCAAGGCAAGCAATCAAGTCCCTTCAGGATAAACCCCCCTCCAAGACTGACGCTCAAAGATAACACATGAGCAGGCATGTAAGCTTGCTGGTCACCACGTTGGTCTGCTGGTGAGGGGAAGACGGGGAAAGGCAGCATTAAAGATATGGGCTGAGTTTGTCCATGTTCCATAGACTCCCATTGACCTGGAAATGAGAGAGAGAAGAGGAAGGGCTAGTTGGTCTGAAGTGTGGTGAGACCTGGGGACTTCTGAGCCCATGGATAAGGACATAGCCATGGAGGGCTAGAGCTGCCAGCAAAGTGTTCAGCTGATATGAAGTGAGGGAAGATGCACAAAAACCCCCAAACTTGTGGATAGTACCCATTTGACCTATCTTCAATGGCAGAACTTGACTCGAGGAAGATGAAAAAAGAAAAGTTTTTGATAAAGGAAAGAAATGTAAATTGCTACAATTTGATGAACTTGACCTATATTTATGGATGTAGAGCTCAAAATAACAACTGAAAGGGAAGGAGTCTTCACATCAAGTATAAATCCTATCCTCTCTGTATGCAGGGTTGATAGGGACAGGCAACTCAGACATTGGCTACCTAAAACGGGGGTGGGGGTGGGGGTGGGGGTGTCTATAAAAGCATGATGTGACTGGCTTACAAGTTTTCAAGAGGAAGTTTAGTTTCAGAGTAAGGGGTAGAAGGTAGAATCCCCACTGAATAGTTCTTATTTTGTCTAGATGGGCCTGGTGAAAAGAAATGGGGATAAGACTCTTCGGATTCAAAAGTGAGTAATTATCATGACTAATCGCAATGGTCACAACAGCAAAGGTAGAGGTTCTGTAACAAAAAGGGGGGAGTAGTTAATCTTACAGTCCACAAACAGAGGATCCTAGGACCATCAAGGGAGAAGAGCACAAGCGGAATGTGGGCTCCTACTCAGAGAAGCAGCGACACCAGAGATGGAGGCAGAAAGGACATGGAGAGATGGAGCAGCTAAGGACTCTAGACTCATGGAAAGAGAAAGGCTGTGGGCTGGAGGCCAGGAGGCAGACTTACAGAATGTGCCCCTTGGGTTGTTTAATGATTATATATTCCAGAGTATATTTGTGTACATTCCCCTGCTCCCCCCTCAAAAAAAAAAAAAACAAAAAAAACCCCAGAGGGAATAGAAACAGCTACTGTTGAATGATGATGTGTGGAGGAGATTGTAATCATTGTAATGAAACAATGAGTGTAAAACTGATGTTCTCACATGTAAACTATCACTCAATTCACAATAAAAACTTAAAAAAAAAAAGACATGGGTTTTAATCCTTAATGAGTGTCAGAAACTTATTAGATGTGAGGCCTTGGTCAAGTTACCTTGCTCTCCTAAGTTGTAAAATATAGAGGTTGAGGAAAATGATCTGTAAGGAATCTTTGGAGAAGGCAAGAATTCTACCTCTGAACCAACATTTGCCTCTTGCCTTCTACGGGGGACACTTGGGTTTGATTCCCAGTCATTGCATCTCATCTGTATGTCATTGGAAACTATCATGTTGCTATGACGCTGTTCAGGTTTCAGTGGCGTGTCCACACTAAGAATAAGAAGAAAGACCACCTGGAAATCCACTTTTGAAAAGCCAGCCAATAAAAACCTTATGGAGCACAATGGTCTGATCCTGTTGTGCACAGAATGGCCATGAGTCAGGGGTTAAATCAACAGTAGCAAACAGCCAAGAAATCCTCCAGCTCAGCCCTTCTGTGATTGGCTCAGGCTGGGAGGCAACGTGGTGTAGTCACTAAGCACATGCACCTGGGTTTAAACCCAGCTCTGTCATCTACACCTTTATGAAGATTCAATGAGTTACTACTATCTATAAGGTACTTAGGACAATGTGTGGTATATCATCGACTCTATGTAAATATGTTTTGAATGTTGAGTGGTTTCAAGGGAAAACCAAATGTAGCCATCTCTTTGTCACTGAGACTTCCTTCCTCCCTGCGTGCGGACTGTCTTTACTCAAGTCTTTTCAAGATGCAGAGATGACAGGACAATTCAAGACCCTTTTCTACTTCTCCTACTCTTTCTGGAGAGATTTGTGGATATGTTCTCATCCAATGAAGGCCCTGATGGTGCAAATGGCTAAGACTCTGAGCTGTGAAGTTGATGGCACAAGTTCATTCAGAGGTACCTTGAAAGTAAAAACTATTCCTGTGGAGCACAGTTCTACTCTGACACACATGGGGCTGTCGTGAGTTGAAGTGAACTTGATGGAACTGTTTCTCTTTTTTTTTTTTTTAAAAAAAATCTACTACTACAAAAATGAATAAAGCAATGGGTAAAGAATGTCTTTAAAGACATGTGGATGCAAATTTAGAGTCATAAGACTTAGTGCACAGGGTTGTTGAAAGAAGAGGGACTAGCAGAGTCAGACACTGAGTGTTAGTTTTCTTTCTTGTCCTCACGGTCGGTCCCCAATGAGTACATTATTTAAATGGAAATTGTAATAATGTCTAGTGATTCCACCATGCCTGAGAAGAAATTGGTCTTTTGTAGATAAGGTCTCCCCATGACCTAAGCATAGGACTTAGTCAGAGCAGGGATAACCTCACTCCACTTCCTTCCTGAGAAATGCTCAGTCAGCTTGACTAAAATCTTACACTCTTGCTTGGCCAAACATCAAGGCTAAAATAAGCAGGTGCAGGATGATTTTCCAAGGTCTTTAATTTTAATGAATTCTATTTCCTATGGTTTTTGCTTTAACAGAAGTGCCTGGGTGAGGCAAATGGCTAAGATGCTCAGCTGCTAACAAAAAGATTGGAGGTTTGAGTCCACCCAGAGGTACCTCAGAAGAAAGGCCTGGCGATTTACTTCTGAAAAGTCTGCCATTGAAACCCTGTGGAGGACAGTTCTGCTCTGACACCTAGGGTTGCCATGAATTGGCATTGACTCAACAGCAACTAGAACGCGATACTTTTGTGAGTATGTTCAGAACTATCATCTCATGAGATGCAGGGCGGGAGGATATTTTATATTTTATAAAGAAATGAGCGAAGTTCCGAGACATGAGATGACTGGCCTAAGGTCTGAAAATGGGGATTAGAAAGCAGCTCCCTGGAGCACATCACTTACTCTGTTACAAGTGCGCTTCATCTCCAAAGGCTTGCAAACGCTCTCTTTTTTATTTCAGAGCTCTTAAACTAGCAAAAGGAGTCTTGGTGTGGGATGGTGGGTTAATGTGCTAGACTGCAAAGTTGGTTTGAACCACAAGGTCGGTGGTTCAAGCTCACCAGTCACTCCTCAGAAACCCTATACAGGGTCGCTATGGGTCAGAACTGACTCGACGGCACTTAACAACAACCATACTAGCAAAACCCATTATTATCTGCCCTATTCCTGTCCAGCTTTTGAATGAATCTACTTTGTCCAAAGTCCTCATACAGAGAGACAGACAGATATACACACTCCGTTGGTCCCTGTTTTTTTTTTTTTAGGATATTCATGAACCACAGAAGGAATACTGACCACCAGCTAATGAAACTGAAATGAAAAGTCATCTTACAAAAAAGGTTTGGGGTACCCATTTAGAGGTTGTGTAAAGGATCAAGCTATAGGGGAGCCAAATTTTTTTCAGACAAGCAGAGAAAGGGAGAATGAAACAGATTTAACAAAGCAAAGCAAAGGAAGGACACGAGAGAGCAAATTTATAGTCCTAGTTCTCCCCAAACTAAAGTCCATCTTAATTTTTCTGGTGTTGAATCTGCTTTGGCTTGAATGAGGCTTTTTCCTTGAGATCCACAGCTTTCACCCAAACAGTGCTAATACGTCACATGTGCAGGCCCGACCTGGAAAGGCTGATGTCTGTAGGTCATCCAGCTACACTCTGCCAGGTAAGTGAGGTTTTAAACCTTCTGTTTGTTCCCACATGCTATTATATGCCTCAGAGCTTATTTATGCCAAAGTGTCCTGGCAGGATTAATCCTTTGAAGTTGTGCCCTGACTGCTAAGAGAGGAAATCTTTTCTGTACCAGGTAAGTTTGTGTTCTGATGAACTTACCTGATGATGTCCCAGCTGCATCTTGTTTTGTTTGATGATATTCTCTTTTTCCAACAGCTCTTTCTGTTGCCTCTCAAACTCCTCCTTACCCTGTTATTTTTCAAAATAAAGAACACATTACATTACCACTGTGATTCACTTATGTTAACAACTTCATTGACAAATGCCTGAGTACACTTCCCTTTTTTGCTTCCACGGCAATCCCTGCATGTTGTATTGTTGTTGTTGTTGTTATGTGCCGTGGAGTCGGTTCCGACTCATAGCCACCCTGTACAGGGTTTCCAAGGCTGCAAATCTTTACGGGAGCAGGAAGCCTCATCTTTCTCCCACAAAACAGCTGGTAGTTTCAAACTGCTGACCCTGAGGTTAGCAGCCAGATTTGTAAACACTACGCTACTAGATCCTGTAAATTCTAGACAGGGGTGACATGCTTCTGGGCCAGATGTCCAGAGTCTGTAGGTGAAGGTTCTATGCGGAGTACCATGCTCTCTGCAATACCTTCTCTTCGTCTGAGAACTGCCCATCACCAACCTGAAAAACTGCCACCGAGATGATTCCAACTCATAGTGAACCTGTATAGGCTTTCATAGCCTATAAGTCTTTATGGGAGCAAACAGCCTCATCTTTTCCCCAAGAGTATGTCTGAACTGCTCATGTTGTGGTTAGCACTCCAGTGGTTATCCTATAGTGTGACCAGGGTCCATGACCCGCCTCCCATCCCTCAATCTTCTTTAGGAAGAACTGTTTCTCAGGGTTCTTTCCTAAAATGAATTCATAATGCAGATCTAAATGTGGCCCAGTTTCCACTTCTAGTTTCTTTGAATCATCTACAGTCTCTTTCTCCATATCAGCATTCCCCAATCTGCAGAGCTGGCCAGTCATGAGGTGAAGGTTCAATGAGTCTTGCTACTCATCCTCCACACCTCTCCCCAGCACTGGGGCTGGCTCAGCTCTTGGCCCCCATACACCTCCTCTCTTCTACTCAAAGACATCTCAATTGCTTTAATAGTTCACAGTATATTCCATGGCTCTCAGTTAATATATATATTTTTAAATGACAGAACAAGGAGATATACCAAATTTTAAATAATGAATCACTAAACCCACCAATTAGGAGCTCTGGTGGCATAGTGGTTACAAATCGGGCTGTGAACCTCAAGGTCAGCAGTTTGAAATTACCAGCTGTTCCGTGGGAGAACAAAGACGCTTTCTGCTCCCGTAAAGATTTACAGCCTCGGAAACCCTGTGCAGGGTCACTATGAGTCGGTTCCGACTCCACGGCACATAACCACCACCACCACCAAACCCACCAGTTGCTCCTTGGAAACCCTAAACAAGGTCTCTATGAGTCAGAACCGACTCGAGGGCACTTAACAACAACAATAGAGTATTTTATGAGTCCTGGTGTGGTGCTATAGGATAAGCACTGGACTGCTAACCACAGGGTTGGTGGTTCAAACTCACCAGTCACTCCTCAGAAACCCTATACAGGGTCGCTATGAGTCAAACCGACTCAACAGCACTTAACAGACATAACAACATGAAGTGTTTGGGGCCCTGGTGTGGCTCTGTAGGGTAAGCACGGAACTGCTAACTGTGCTAACCACAAAGTCAGAATTTCAGACCCACCAGCCATTCTCAGAAAACCTATACAGTGTTGCTATGAGTCGGAATCGACTTGATAGCTCATAGCAAAAACAACAATAGAATGTTTTCAGCATTTGGCTGCTAGCAGCAAGGTTGGTGGTTAAAACCCACCAGTTGCTCTTCAGAAGAAAGATGAGCTTACTGTTCCCATAATGAGTGACAGTCTCAGAGATCCGATATCAACTCAATGGCGCTGGGTTTGGTTTTGGTTTGGATAGAGTCCTGGCTGCTAACCAAGCACCTCAGATCCACCAGCTGATCCTTGGAAGCCCTATACAGGTTCATTATGAGTTAACACTTAACACCAACATGTGACTTACTAATACAAAATAGAAGCAGAGTTGGCATGATTATTTTGTTGTTGTTGTTAAGTGCTGTCGAGTCAGTTCTGACTCTTAGTCATGAACTTGTGTAGGGTTTCTAAGGAGCAGCTGGTGGGGTTGAACTGCTGACCTTTTGGTTAGCAGTCTGGTGCTTATCATACACCACTACACCAGGATTCTGTTATAAGAAGTGTCCTTTGTCCTATGTGTTAAGTCTCTTTCTGCTTGCCTGGGCATAATCATTTGGATCTTATCCAACCCCACACTTGATTAATTTTTACAAAGGAGGAAATGAAGGCACAGAGAGGTTAAATGACTTGGTCATACAACTATTGTCTGAGAAAGGTCTAGAACCCAGGACTCAGTGTTCTCAGTCCCATAGTCTTCCTCCTGTACAGTCTTGCCTCAAATTAAGTGGTGAACCACTTGGTTGACATTCATCGTGTCTTCTCCCTTGGGAGTCCTCCCTTACAGCCTTATGTTGCTAGCCCCAGGCCCCCTGAGAGTGAGTGTGGACGTTCCATGAGTTTGGCTTCTTTACCTGTAGGTGGACATAATCATAATCGTCCATCCAGCTCGTTTCAGAGCCATCGCTGCTGCCACAGTCGGGGGGCTTGTCCTTTCCCAGGCCTGCAGGCAATGCCTTGTTGTGGACTTGGGCCTTGTGGGAGCCACCAGCTGGGTACTCAGTTGAGTTCATGATGTTTTCAGGCCCATTCTTCAGATGGAAGGTACCAGGGCCCTGTCTGAAGACAGCCTCTGCGTTGGTGTTGATGGTTGTGGTGAGCTGCTTGGCATCATCAGGCAGTGTTTTTGCCACCATCACAAATCTATCCAGATCATCCCACTTGTTTTGGGACTTGTTGATGGCCAAGATATTCAGGGACCAGTTACACTCACTTAAGTCATGGCTGGTTTGGCCTAGGATCTGGTGAGAGTCTTCAACTCTTTGGAGCTCCCGCTTCATTTTGTTGTGGAGGGTGGGTTCTGGGAGACAGGAGGCATTCGCAAGAGCTCCCTTGGCAAAAAGGAGATACTCCCTCAGGGACAGATCTACCTTGTCCACTGCCATGCGTATCTCATTGATGTGTCTCTCCATGTATCCATAACACCGCCAGTCACTGGTCACCAGCGCCATGAGGTTGGTGACACCCATGTCCAGGGTCTGCTGGAGCTGGTGGAGTCTCTCAATGGCTGTGTCTGGATCTAGGAGAAGCCTTTTATCCTGAGACTGGGAGGCCGACACCGAGGACTCCTTGGAAGTGGTGGAAGACGTGGACATGTTACTCCGGGTACTGCCTGTACTGGAGAAAGATAACCTGTTGATTCCATCAACCACGTCCTGAGACCCTTTAGTGTCTGCCGGGTTATGCAGAGGGACATCATAAACACCGTCCCTTTCTTCGGGATTTGCTTTCTCACTGTTTTCTGCTGGTGGTTCTAGAAACTGAACTCCTCGCGGGATGTCATATGCATCGTTCTGAGTGCCCGCTGGCGGTGTCAATGCTGCGGGTGTGTGGTTCAGGGACATACTCTGGTGTTTGCGGGACGTCAGCTCAGCGGCTCCCGGGACATCACAGTGGTATTTTAGGTGAAGGTCCTTCCCCACTGGCTTGGTGTTGGCTGGAGGGATGTCATAAACGCCCTCTGGTCTGACAGCTTGTCTCATTGGTGGGGGGAAATCATATTCTTTTCCCCTAAGCCCTGCTGCATCTTTACAAGCAGAAGGAGGACTGGTATACATCTAAAATACAAAGGAGAATTAAGTTAAAGAAAATAATAAGGAAGAAATTCTTAATTGTTGAGCCGCCTTGCATGGTGCTGTAGGATCAGCAGTGGACTGCAAACCACAAGGTCAGCAGTTCAAACCTATCAGCTGCTCTTTGAAAACCTTGTACAATGTCGTTATGAGTCAGAACTGACTAGGCAGCACTTAATATGAACATGAAGAAACGGAACAGGACGTTAAGACAAAGCCCTGCATTCTCAGCCCTTCTTGTGACTCCTCTTCCCACTAATGGTGGGTATGTCCCAAGGCTGGGTGCTCATCACTCAATTCTGTGAAAACAGTCTCTGCCTCCAAGGCTTCAATGGTAACTGGGATATGGAACCTTCTTCCCAGATGCCAGCCATGTTTCTGAGCACTTCCGGGACGTCCCTCCTCCTACTCCACTCTGAGAAGCAGATTAACGCTCTAATATCACCCCAGGTATCAGAAGACCTGAAGGTCTCTTTCCAGTTCCACCCCCTGTGTGATGCTGAGTAAGTCCTTTTAAAGGCTCAGAATCACAATTCCCTTTATCTGCAAAAGATAACACCACTTCCTGTGCAGGTCTCCCCTGGACAGTAACAGAGTGAATCAAAGGAGCTCACTCACAGATATGGACTGAGTAAAGAAAGTCCTGAGTTGTTGCTGTCAGCTCCAGCTCACAGGGACACTATACAGGATTTCCAAGAGCTGGTGGGTTTGAACTGCTGACTGTAGGCTTAGCAGTCCAATGTTTACACAAAGTCACATTGCTGTTGTTGTTAAGTGCTGGCGAGTCGATTCTGACCCACAGCGACCATGTGTATAGAGTTTCCAAGGAGCAGCCAGTGAGCTTGAACCACCGACCTTGCAGTTCAAATGACTTTGCAGTCTGATGCATTCATTATCTATCCCACAGTGCCACATACATGATTATTATTTGTCAAACCAAACTAATTATCTTCCCATCCTATTGGCTCTCCTTAATGACCACTCTGTTTTGTTTTGTTTTTTTAAGCAGGGCTTCAAAATAAGAAAACTCTAGAGTTATCTTTGGAGCTCCTGAGTAAAGCAGATAGTGAAATGTTCAAAAGGCTGGAAGCTCCCAATTTACTTCAAAAAAATCAGCTGTTGTAAGCACAGATCTACACAGATGGGGTTGCTGTGAGTCAGCATTAGCTTGACAGCAAATGGTGATGAAGGATCTTGAATTATTATTACCTTTCTTTCCTTTCAAGGAGGGCTGTTGGTGCTGTAGGCTAAACACTGGACTGTTAACTGTAAGGTCAGCAGTTCAAACCCACCAGCCATTCTTAGGAAGACAGATGAAGCTGTCTGTGAGAGTTAAAACTTTGTGTCAAGCTGACTGTGCTAGGGTTCTCAGTGGTTTGGCAGTTGCGATGTAGTTATGCATCATAATGAGACCTAATATAATGCAATCAACTCTAGAATGAGGTCTTCTATGAACAGCCAATCAATTGAAAGGATGTTTCCTTGGGGGTGTGGCTTGCTTCCAATCTAATAGCCACTCAGGCAAAGCTTGCTGGCTTTCTGTTGGGTCTGGATTTTGCTCCTGGTTTGTCCTCTGACATCTGGCTCTTTGAGCCAGTGACCTGTTTTATTACCTGCCTGCCTGTTGTCTGACCTACCATTCTTGGTTCTTTTGATCTGGACGTCAGACTTTCCCACCCTTTTTTTTACAATTGTGTGAGCCATTTCTTTGATACAAATGTCTTTTTATATATACATATATAAGTTTCACTGGTTTTACTTCTCTAGAGAATTCAGCCTAAGACACTGTCTATTCTAGTAAAGTTTTACATCCTTGGAAACCCTACACAGGTCACTGTCAACTGGAATCTACTCAATGGCAGTTGGTTGGTTCCTTCTTTCCATTTACACGATCACCAAAACAAAAATATCACCCTTTTGGGTTTGCCCTGTTTGTTCCCAATGTGCCAACAACCCCCCCCCCACCCCCCCAAACACACACCTTTTCTATCCCTCTGTAGTAGCTCACTATGAGACCCTGGGTGATGCAAATGGTTACATGCTAAACTATTACCCCAAAGATTGGTGGTTCACACCCACCCAGAAATGCCTTAGAAGATGGGGCTGGTGCTATGCTTCTGAGAAATCAGCCAATGGAGCAGTTCTGTTGTGCACATATGGGGTCAGCATGGGCAGGAATCAAACCGACGGCAACTAACCACCGTAGCTCACTACTTACCCCTTTTGTAGGAGGGATGTCATATACCCCTTGAGGCTTAATCTCTTCCACCGGAACTGAAAACACAGGAGCTTTCACTGATGAGGGAGGGATATCGTACACCTGAGGAGAAACATGCGCGTCACCGAGAAAGAAAAGATCTCATAACTGTTAGTTTTTAATGCTACCGTGATTTTAAGTAGGAACTCTGGTGGCACAATGGATTAAGTGTTGGGAAGCTAACTGTTCAAACCCACCAGCCACTTTGAGGGAGAAAGAGGAGGCTGTCTGCTCCCATAAAGACTGAGTTTCTGAATCCATAAGGAAGAGTCCTACTCTGCCCTATAGTGTCGCCGTGAGTCAGAACTGACTTCTAATAATGGATGGATTTACCAGGTGACAAGAATGCAGAATCCCATGTAACAGAGAGGGCTGATGGAATTTTTTTTTTTCCCTTTTAGATTTTGCATTCTTTACCTTGGATTGAATATACACATGGTCTTAGTTGAAATATTCACCCTGTCTGTACTCTAAACTACAGTTTAAATTTTAATGCCTCCTGGAAAAGAATGTTAAAATGATCAAGCGACAAAAACTTTTCTGAGATGAAAGACTAGACTTTCCCCAGTAAGCAAATCTGGAAAACATAATTTTAAGCAACTTTGGCTCAAGTGGTTCCTGGAAGGGCACCTAAGGAAAACCTTGTATTAAATATGCATGCGTTGTGAACCACTTTTCTCCTAGAAACCAATCAATGCCAGAAGGAATGCCACCCAGAGAGCACCTCCTTCTGGTGACTGTATTCTGGTACTTACCCCCTGCAGGCTATGGGAGGGAGGGATGTCATAGATGTCCTTTGGGTATCTGGATGGGTACTCGTACACATAGCCATGGCCTGTCCTCACTGGGGTTATCACCTGTGGATGAGGGGACCAGAGAGGTGAAACTCAAACCTGAGTCTTGAGTGAACCCCTACATTCCCAGTCAGGCATTCACTCCTCTTCTCTCCCCAGTTCAAAGAAAAGCAAAAACAACCAAAGAAGGAAGAGAGGAAAGGAAGGAGACAGAGAAACATTAAACTTTTAAATCCCTCTTTGATTTCCTGAAATATCTCTAGCATCTTCCCATGGTTACAAAATCACCTCCAAGTGGTTCAGATAGAGTTTCCAGTTCCAAAATACACTTCAATGAGAGCCACTTGTTTAATTATGAAAGTATGAGATGATCCCTTTGGAGTAAAAAAACTTTTCTTACATCAAAATGGCAGCATAGTAAAACAAAACAGAACAAGATATATATTTTAAAGGTTCTGAAACTGTACAGTGAATAACAGAGTTCAGCCACTTAACATTCCTCTCCCATCTTCCCCAAGATGCCTCCTCATCCAACAGACATTATAGTTAGGACTCTAAAATTCCACAGGTTACTAAAGTACTTTTACAAAGCTAATACTCAAACAGTATTGCCCTTAGAAGTTTCCAGAAGCGTTCCATCTAACAAAAGAAACAAATGAAAAAGTGGGTTTGGGAGCGACAGGGAACAGAGTTCAGGTCTCATCTCTTGTGCTAATCGTTTTCCCATTTCCACCAGGGAAGCAAAGATTCCAGACAGTATTTATGTCCAAGGGACATCAAAGGTCAGATACACTAATCATGGCTTCAGTATCTGGAATTAATGCAAAGGAAATAAATTTGATCTGACAGCCTCATATTTTCACAATCTTTTTCGTCACTAGGAGTTCTGGTGTGGCGCTGTTAATGCGCAGGACTGTGGGCTACAGTTGGTTTCAACTGCAAGGCAGTTCAAGCTCATCAACTGCTCCTCGGAAACCCTATACAGGGTTGCTATAAGTTGGAACCGACTAGACAGCACTTAACAACAACAAAAACAACATACATCACTGGAAGGAGCCCTGGTGGCACCTTAAAGGTCAGCTGCTACCTTAAAGGTACTGCTCCTTGGGAGAAAAGTGCGGCATCTGAGCATTTGCTTCCATAGTGATCATAGCCTTGGAAGCTTTACTGTGACCCATAGGGTTGCTGAGTTGGAATTGACTGAAAGCAGTGGGCTGGGTTTGGTAAATTTCACTGGTGACCTAAGCACAGGTAGCGAAGGGCTTCTATATTCCCGGGGTCTTATTTCTGCCTAGCCCTCTCCTCACGCCCCCCATTAAGTCACTACCAGTAGTGGTGGTGGTGGTATGCCATGGAGTCGGTTCCGACTCATAGTGACCCTGTACAGGGTTTCTAAGGCTGTAAATCTTTATGGGAGCAGAAAGCCTCATCTTTCTCCCGCGGAACCACTGGTAGTTTTGAACTAGCTGACCTTGAGGTTAGCAGCCCAACTCGTAGCCACTATGGTACCAGAGCTCCTTAAGTCACTACCAGTGCCCACGTGCCCACATCAAATACAGCTCACAACATCTTTTGCAGACCTTGCAGACAGACGCTACAAATTGAGAAGAGTCTGCTGTTCCCTACAAAACCATAGTCTCTTATTCTTTCTGTAATATGAAAACTCTGGTGTCGGGCTGTTAGTAAAACTATGTAAAGTACTCCAATGTGTCCTTCTTCTGCTGAAATGGGTGGAACGCAGCCAAATGCACCAATGCCTTTCTCCCCACGGACTCTGAAATGCCCAAGTTCAGTTTGACTTTGAATTCCTGGTGCATACAAGTGATGATGAATAGTATGCATTTCCACCAAATCTCCCCATTGCCTCGGGTGTAAAGAAAAAGGAACGTATTGCTTTAAGGTTTGTTGGCACAAGGCATAAAGAGCCATTTACAGAGTGGCCACTGGACTGTGCCCAGCAAATCTTCCTTTTAAAAACAAGATGCCCTCTGCTAAAGAAAAACATAGTGTTCCTAATGCCCTTGTACAAATTTTTTTTTTCATTCATTATTGTCTAGGAGAAATGGGGTATCTTCTAGTCTATCTCATAAGTGCCTCTATTTATAGCTTTCTCTTTTGGCTTTATAGTAGAACCTGCTCACAACACAGCTTTTGTTTAGTCTTGAAAAGTTCCTAAGAGTGGACTCTATCTGCAGAGGCTAAGTAATCATGCCAATGGAAAACCAAGGCAAGTTATATTAGAGTACAGCTTGGCTGTTTCATTTTTGGTTTAAAAAAATGGTGGTGGTGGGGGGCAGCTGGGAGGTAGAAGGGGTGGTGTTGGTGTCTGAAAATAGCGCTTGATGAAATGTCAACATATTACATGACCCCCAGAAGGCAGGGTCGGCGGACAAAGCTTTTCCTTCCTTTGTGGCTCTTCCCTGGCAGGGCGCATACATGTTTCCCGGTATTTCAGACCTCACTTCCTGCCAAATGTCACCGAACCTCAACATGCTCTCTTTCTCATTTAGGGAATGCTTGTGGTCACTTGGTTTTTAAAAAGCTTTGCATTCCAAGCCAGTCATTTTCCTTGTTTATGCATTAAAAGAAACAGATGGTAAAAACCACAGTGCGGAAAAGCCAACAGAATACAACCAACCCCCAATGCCAGCATTCCCCAATGCCCCCATTGAATCCACCCTGGTGCAGAAGTGGCATCTAAGGGGGACCAGCAGTTTGCATCTAGCTGGTCAGTCATTTCCAGAGATACAGGGGTCTGCTTTATGATGTCGGAAGGAATGAAAGCTCGAAATCTCCCTTGGGACATTTTTCTTCCTCCTCAGCCCATTGCTTGGGTGATTTTCATGCCAATTGTGTGTTCTCTACTCAGAGGAAAGTGCTGACCGTGCTGTGCCTTATAAAGTATCCAGTTTTGTGGTTCATTAAGTCCTTTGCTTCCTGCTTCACAAAAGTACAAAAAAACCTTTCTATTCCCTCTCCCCAGCCCTACCCCCTGAATTACTGAACCTCAGCCCAAGAAGAACACTAAGGTCTGGCTTCGAGGGTATGCTAAGCTTAGAGGATTCTCCAGAGCATTTGCGTAGTGAGGCATTTCTGGAATGGCTGCACAAAACACATTTTTTTAAACTAATTTTTCTTTTTTTAACTAATTTTTAACTAATGAAATCAAGTCAGGTTCTTCATTTCCTTTTCTCCCTTTGTTTTTCCTTTCTCTACATTCCTTCCATTCTATATGTTAATAGTTACAGAGACTTAACCTTAGTTAAATCACCAAACTGACTTCTGAATTCATTAGTGTTGCCACAAAAGGGGTTAAATTGCGGGCTCTCCTGGGACTCTAGGACCCAACGCTGCCACAACTCCTTCCCCGATTACCCTGCTAAGGATTTACATTTTTCAAATGTGGGTTTTCTATCCCTACAGTCTCTGGACTTGGTAAAGTAGAGAGCTAGTGAAAAAGAGGAAGACCCTCAGTGAGGTGGGTTGACACAGTGGCTGAAACGATGGGTTCAAACACAGCAGAGACTTTGGGGACAACGCAAGACTGGGTAGTATTGTGTTCTGTTGTACAGGGGATAGTTATGAGTAGAAACTGACTAGATAACACCTAACAACAAAATCCCCAGGATTTTGTATACAGAAGCACTTCAGCAGACAGGTCCAGTGATCTGCTTCCAAAAGGCCTTGAAAACCCTATGGGGCAGTGCTACTCTGCCTAGATCGACTTGACAACAACTAACAAGAACAATATGAGCACTTACTCCAACCTGCCTCAGACTTTAGTACCATTCTTGTCATTAGAAGCGACCGAAGACTGAGACCTTGAGATGCACTAAGAAGCAGAGAATGGCAGACAAAGGATATCTCGGAAGAGAATAAACTGTTTAGTAAATCTCTGAGGCTGAGTCCTGGCAGGTTAGATGAAAAGTGCACAGACTGAGGTTAGGACAGCTCTCTAATTCATCTGCTTACATCAAAACAAACACACCATGGCTCGCTTCCACCTCCACACACATCCTGATGGTGTTTGATTCACACACCTCAGGTTTTGGGTGGTATGAGCTGCTTATGGAGCTACTTTGGATATTTTCATGTCTCATAATTTTAAGATCCACACATGCTGAAATTTGAAAGAGGAGAGTGTGCTTGGGGTGGCAGTAGGGGCTGGGGAACACAGAAAACCAACTAGTGCAAGAATCAAAGTGTTGACTAGAAATCATTCAGGAACAAAGTTTATGGTGATGGAAAATTTGGCAACAGATATGGGTAATGGCTGCACAACACAAGTGATGTCATCAATGTCTCTGAATTGTATGTGTAAAAAATGCTGAGTTGGCAGCTGTGTTCTATTTCTGTTTTACCACACACACACACACATACATTATTACAGGAAGATAAAGCATCTGAGAGTTGGAAGGAATGCTAAGAGGTCCTATCATCATATCATGTATCCACATTTGGTTTGCCTGAGCTGGCTTCTGTAGACAGAGCCAGGGTCTTCCCCTCAGACGCCTGTGGTGCCAAGAAGGTAGGATGCAGGGCACAATCATGGGAGGCTTGCGTGCTGGGCAGATAAACTCTCACCCGACCCAAAGGAGGCAGGCATTCCTTGGCACAGCCCAAGAGCCGTCCTGCAGAAATGCATGCTGTGTTGCCAGATGTCTCAACTTTTCGTGAGAAGCCAGAAATCTGGATTTTTTGTGTGTGAAATTCTCTGATTTTCCAAATTGGCCCCAAAATTTGAAACCGGGTTTTAGCCAGAGGTAGCATGCCTGGTCTGTCCGTCTTAACCTTCATATATGTACACTTGCTCTCCTCCCTCCGTGCCTTGAAAGCCTCTGAGGTCAGGGCCTGCAAGCTCTTCCTTAACTCCATGTCTTGGCAAGCCTGAACTCCCCCTGGCTTCCATGCATGCCCTGCCAGCATACCCACTCGGCTTGGTCTTTGCCCAGGAGTGCTCTTCTTCCTGCCCTCATATGCACAGTTTCAAAGCCAAATTCCATGCCTCTTTCTCATTTTGGATCTCAGCTGCAGACATAGTATCTCCCTCCTTGGAACTCCAT